GCAGAGAAAAAAAAAGAAATCAAACATATCACAATACTGAAAACAGAAACACTTAAAAAAAAATTAAATACCTATCACAGTCTACACTGAAATACTGAAGATTCTGGAGCATAGCAAATACATTATTATATCGACATATTAACAACATTACCTACAATTTGAATAGTGCCCCTTCCTTGTTGTGCATTTCTCTAGTTGGGGCAAGGTTTTCCCTTTATGGATTGTTATGTGCACCTTAAATAGATAGTGCCTAATTAGTCAAAGTTAATATTTTTCAACCGTTTTACACACATAAACAAGGCCAAAACCCAATAATAGACAAAAATACAATTCTGATCTTCTGCGCCGGATGAGCTTAATTTCTGTCCACAAAATCTCTAAATATAGGCTATGCTATAGAGTAATATCAATGTAGTGATATAAACACACGTGATATATATTATGAATAATAAAGGAAAAACGTGTGTGTAGGTGTATTACATGACATACATGAATACAAAATTAACTTTTAGCATAAAGTACACTAATTGCCAATATGTAAACAGTTTCAAGCTTGTATGAAAACGTAAGCCTATACATGTTTTTCTCATATCATCCATTTCATTGCTTTAATTATTTATTCATGTTTAATTTAAAGCATATGCTGAACTTCGTCATTGCGCTTCGGTTTCATGAAACAAAATGTGCAGGTGAAACAGTTTATTGCTAACAAGCTAAATTATTACCTACTACTTTAACCCATATTTGATGTGCCTTTCAGACTATCGTGGTAAAGACAGTCATATCATTTTAAACGTATCACAGTAAAACAACAATTTCGCTGTCTAATTCAAGTCAACAAAATAGTTTGATGACATTAAACAAATAATGTGATTCACATTCAATACACTCGGATCGTTGTCGTCCATATTCAATAGTTGTAATAGTATGTTGGTGTAACAGATGTAGCTAGGGACTGACACTGGGACTGGTTTTCAGCATTTATTTTGGTCTGCAGAAGACACAAAGCACATAATTTGCCCTCTGTTCCACTGTCTGCACCTCAGCTCCCTCAGCAATGCGAAACAGCACTGTCTGAGCTCATTTGTCTTTTAACAATATGTATAAATGTAATAAAATTACATTTAAATATGTAATTAATATAACATACAAACTGCTTATTAAATTATTTGCAAAGTCATACCAAACACTGCTGAAAAACATAAATTTCAACATGAATTATATTAACAAATCACCACAAAACATTTAACACAGTATATTCATGAAACAAACAGTGACACCTGGTGGACAGAGTAAAAAGGCACTCATAGAGGGGGAACTAAACAGAAACAACGGAAAATACAACATAAATCAAACAAAAACATACCTGCAGAAGTCACAAAGCACATAATTTGCCCTCTGTTCCACTGTCTGCACCTCAGCTCCTAAACAACAGGCGCTCGATGCGGCGTCTATGTATATATGTCTATGGGTAACACAACTGCAGAGACACGCGACAAGAAGGAGCAGAAGAAGAAGAAAGTCCAGGACGTCAACAACACACAGGTGACGGGCATGTACTCATAGACATATACACATAGACGCCGCATCGACTGCCTGAGCGCGTCCTCGCCGGTCGCCATCTTGGATGGGTCTCGCTTCGCCTCCACAGTGCATTCACTTCTATTGAGGAAGGAGCTGTATGCACAAGTAAAATAGAATAACTCGCTGAATTTTCAACTGATTTTCACGCGGTTTGGTTTGTTACAAACGGCACACATATAGTTATGATACAGGATGCTTTCGTACATTAAAAATGCGGGATTTCATACATTTTATTCACCTCAACCCCAGAGTGGGATGGATATATATATATATATACATATATACACACACAGTCAGGTCCATAATTATTTGGACAATGATACAGTTGTCGTCATTTTGGCTCTGTACACCACCACAATGGGTTTTAAATGAAACAATCAATACCTGCTTAAAGTGCAGACTCTCAGCTTTCATTTAAGGCTTTTTTCAAAAATGTAGTATGAACCGTGTAGGAATTACAACCATTTCTTCACACAGTCCCCCGACTTTAAGGGCTCATAAGTATTTGGACAAACTAACATAATCATTAATTAAACAGTCAGTTTTAATACTTGGTTGCAAATCCTTTACAGTCAATGACTGCCTGAAGTGTTGGACACATAGACATCATCAGATGCTGGGTTTCTTCCCTGGTGATGCTCTGCCAGCCCTTTACTGCAGCCGTCTGCACTTCCTGCTTGTGTTTTGGGTGTTTTGGGTGTTATACAGTTATCTCCCACTCTGGGGTTGAGGTGAATAAAAGAACTGTGTTGTGATCTAAATAACATGCTGTTGCTATCTGCAGAAAGTATTAAAGCATGAAATCCCGCATTTTTAATGTACGAAAGCATCCTGTATCATAACTACATGTGTGCCGTTTGTAACAAACCAAACCGCGTGAAAATCAGTTGAAAATTCAGTGAGTTATTCTATTTTACTTGTGCGTACAGCTCCTTCCTCAATAGAAGTGAATGCACTGTGGAGGCGAAGCGAGACCCATCCAAGATGGCGGCTGGCGAGGACGTCGGCTCCAATAGGCAGCGGCAGTCAATGCGGCGTCTATGTATATATGTCTATGCATGTACTGACATCTGTGGCAGTGAAACCATTATCTTGTTAGCTTCAGCTTTGTCATGGGCCCCTTATGATACTGCTACACAACTGTATGATCTTAACCTTCATGTTTTTTTTAAAAAAAACATAAAAAACTCAGCATTTTTAATTGTAGAGGCTCTTTGTAGTTAGCTACCAGTGGATGGATTGCAGAGTTTGTGTTCCTCAAAAATACTGAAAAATATGTTTTAATAAATGTTTCGAAAGGCAGTTCGAGTTTAGGCACACAAAATTCACGAGAACTGTTACGTCACCCGGCCGCCTGTGTATTTATTATGTGTATGTGTTTGTGTCTATGTAGGCTATGGATTTGATCATCATGTTTAGTGGAGAGTCAGACTTCTCTTTCTGTCCGGAGATCGTGTGTGTTGTGTTAACAGGTGTGCAGGTGGTCGCTGGACGATCATGACGTTGCTCCGGCTGGATTGGCTGAGCAAGGTGCTCGGCCTTCTGTGTCAACGGTCGCCTACTGGATAACAAGCGTGACGTCACCGCTGCCGGATTGGTGGAGCAAGGGGCTCGGCCTTCATAATGCCGGCCACACGGAAGCCTTGTTTCCACTCTCGTACATGGCAGCAGCACATTGTATCGTTCTCTGGTTTTGTGATTTATGAGTACTTTGTTGTGTGATCCACGTGTGCTTATTTAGCTTGCTTGCTAAATAATTAATTCTTTTGTTAAGACCAGCGCCTTAGGGCCAACTCAGTCGTTTGTGTATATTGTAAATAGTCATTGTCACATATTATTGTTTTCTCCTGTTTTTCGTTAGCCTAGGGAGTTAGGCCTAGTATTGTATTTTTGTTTCTTTTGTTTTTGTTAGGGATTAGTTATTTCGCCGGTCGGTAGACAGGTTGCTTTTTGTTTGTTGTTTTGGCCTGGGCTCACCCTGACGTCTTTTGCTCCATTTTGTGTGCGATATTGTACAGTGTGTTTTTGGAGTGTGTAGCAATAAATTGCTCACCTGTACATTTACTCCCGTGTTCCTGTGTGTCCTTATGTTACGCACCCACACCCCTAGACCGGGGCGTAACAAGAACCTACCACTGACAGTCAACACAGGAGAGGTCAGTTTTATCATTATTTATATTATTGTACTGTCTGTATGACAGCTATAGGGCTAAAATAAATGTTAGCTTCATCAACAAAGTAATCTACTGCAGGGTCATGTCCACACTCCAGCTGTAGTGACTGGTCCTGTAGCCACTACTGGATGCTGATTAATTTTGTTTTGACGTGTACTCGGGCAAGGCAATAAACCAACGAAAACTTCCTTTGCGTTTGAAATAATAATGTTCATTTAATTTCTTGCGGAAGCCACATACTTAATACTTGTCCACATAAATTATAAACAGAAAAACGCACAAGCACAGGCACAGTCGAAAACTGTTTGCTTCTCCCCTCTAATCAGCCACACCTGTGTAACACTGAGTAACCTCAAGTAACCTACCTGACCCCCCGCCAACATCCGGGTAGAGTCAGTAAACAAAGGAAATACTGCCCCCTGTATTTTGGAGGTACAGAATAAATAAATAAACACAACATGGCTCCTGCACCAGCTCCTATCATAAACTCAGGACAGAATCATCCGCAATTTAATGATGAATGTTTCACACAAAACTGTTTTATTGAATTTCTTTCTCAATGTTCATGTCTAATTATAACAAAATTCAAAATGCTCAAAAATATTTTCAGCCTACAAGTTTCTTCTCTTATGGTGTTTCTTTGGTGTTGGCCTAGCTGTAGATAAGGGACGCACAATATAAGGTGTCTGGTAGTGATGAACCTACAGAGAATTATGACCTGAATCTGCAGCTCTCTTTATCTTTACAGAGCTTTTGCTTTACTGTCTTCGCTCTAATGATGTGTTTTGCTCTAAAAACTCACAGTTCACTACCTGCTCAGCAGCAATCAGCAGAATGACAGTTAGGGACAAGCTGTTGCACATAGTGGAGCATTAAGCAGCTAAAGGGACAGATATTTCCCTCAGCAGCTGGTAGAGACCAAAAGCAGCTTCACTGAGTTAATATTTGACTCACATTTATCAGGTTTATCACAGGGCTGACACATAGAGACAGACAACCATTCACACTCACATTCACACCTACAGGCAATTTACAGTCACTAATTAACCTGCATGTCTTTGGACTGTGGGAGGAAGCTGGAGTACCTGGAGAAAACATGCAAACTCGCACAGAAGGCCCCCCCCACCCCATCCCGGGTTATTGCAGGTTTAAGCACATTGGTTAAAGCTGTTTCTAGATTGGCTGATATAAAATAAGACTGAAGTTAGTCAAATAGTGAGCAATAAATTACATGCAATATCATAAGAATAAAGTCATATCAAGACATCTTATTTATTGAAAAGCAACAAATGCCAGACAAATAGACAATTTGTAAACATGTTTTTAGAAAGTCCACAGCCATGATTTTGTCTTTGCATATGTCATAATACATTGGTGCTCTGTCCAGATGGAGAGCAGCTGGAGGCAAAGTCTACCAACACTTGGATGCTTTCATCGGCTCACAGAGTAACATGAGCAACATTAAGAGGTCTGACGGACAAGGTAATTTGTAATGATGACTGTGTCCACGTCGTGATTGTAAACAAGCTATTATATTTGTGTAGAATCAAAATAAGAGATATAAAAGGGTCAGCTCCACAGTCTGACGGCAGGAATGTAACACAATATAACTGTTTGTGTTCTGTGTGCAGACCATAGTGGCGTAGATGAGTGCAGAGTTAAAACCTGAGTGGACATTTACATTTAAAAAATATACATATAATTATTTTAAAATATCAAAAATATATGTCTTTTTCCAACATAATATACAGTATTTGAGCAACCATATTGGATTCATTTTATCAAAGAATGAAAAAAAAACCATGCTAAAGAAAAAAAGAAAGGATTAGATGGATATGGCACCAGGATGAATATTTTTACAAATGCAGGCTATAAAATGGTTTTGTTCTGTTTTGCTCAGTTAGCCAGTGTGTTTGGTCACAAGAGCAAATTTACCCTGATCACAGTATTTATGACGCCTTCCTCTTGAGATCAGCAACAAGATACGTCTCCTTCTCCTCAAGGATTTTGTAGAAGACATCTTTGCCGTCATGTCCTGCAGCTTTCAGGGCACCGCTATAGAGTTTCCTCATCTTCTCCTGAGTGGTTTGGATGGCACTGATTGTATCATAATCTTCTTGTTGGATTACCTTTTCACTCAGGAGATTATCCAAGATTGGTTTTATATTGCTCACTCTCTCAATCAGAGCACACTGGTGTTTATCCACAAAGTGCTCCCCTGAGGGCAGAAAAATCTGTTTAGGTAGTATCTGGTGACATCAGTTCCTTTACGATTTAAAAAAAGAGAGGGTTAATTGCAAAGTGACACTCAAACCTTTTGAATACTGCAAACACCTGTAGAGTTTAAATGAATTGTTGCTGTTGAACAGCCTAACATTCACAATTTTATTGGTTTGATTTCAAGTTATAGTTTTGGTCGCGCAAATTCAAACTCCTTTTGAGGAGTATAAATATTTTATTGCTCAGGTAACATAAACAAGTTCATGCTCGGCAGGATGTTGTTTTGTCACAGTCAGGTAAGAAATCAAGAGGCAGAAAAGGCTTAAACTTGATTAATATTGCTGCTGTGTAATGAATTCAGGGATTATGGCTCCTTTTATAATTTGCCACAACAATGTTCAGATATTGGAAATGCAGTGGGGATCATTCAGCTTGTTTATATGCACTTAAGTAACCAGGTTACTGTAAATCAGATGGCACTATTCGAGCCAGTTGAAAATTTTACATTTGCGCAAGAATTTGCGTGACACACAAGCCTATCCTGACAGATTCTCCTGACATTACCAAGCATCAGAAATGAAGGTTAAACTCATTGTTGCTGTCTGCGACTCACAGTCAGTACTGTACAGAGACAGAACATAAAAAGGAAAGGGCTCAGAGATTTGTGAGCAACGCCGTAGGATGACACGGTTAAATTCTGAGAATATGCATTTGTGAGTACTGTTAGCGATTTTGTTGAGTTGCTTATTAGCAAAATGCTTTGAGTAATTTAAGTTGGTCATTGGAAAAACAGTGGGAGGAGTGAAGCAGTAATGTGCTGTCGTGGACAATATGAAAAATACAACTGAAAAAGTTGGTACACTCTGTAAAATGTAATGAAAACAGGATGCAATCATTTGTGAATCTTTTGTGACCTAAATTTAATTGAATACATAACAGAGACAAGATGATAAATGTTCAAACTGATAAACTGTATTTTAAATAAACACTTCTTCTGACTTTGATGCAACGCAATGTGAAAATGTGCAATAGTTTTCACTGTGAACACATCACAGCGCAACAGATAGACAGACAAAACAGTAAAATCTAAAGAGCAACTCTTCTAAATACAAATCATTTGAAATATTTTACCTGGTAAAGGACCAGTGCTGCTTTGGTAGTCATCTGTAAAAATAATGCAGAGATAAGGAAATATGAATATGGAGCTGATTTACTGCCTTTTATCCAACAATAGATGTCTGCTTCAATAATGATATTCAATAAAATTCAAGTGGTACTCAGACAGTGTATTTAAATTCTTGTGGTATTATTTAAAACTGACCTTTTCTAATTGCACAGGTCCACACTGGTTGATGATCATTTTCTTGTTCAATCTGGAGCATGAAGACTTTGTCTGGATTTTCAATGAACACTTCAAAGAAATTTGGGTTTCTGCTTTTATATCTGAGCTTTAGTGTCTGTAACAAATAAAGGGGGAGTGGGGCTTCGACTTTAAGCGCCAGAAAATTCCAACTGTGACACTTCATAGGTTTTAGACTGAGGTGGTATTGTGATTTAAATCAAAGACATGTACAGTCAGGAACAAAAAAGAAAATATCTGATGTATCTTGCCAATTACTTGTAGAATGCTGTTATAAGTAAATGTATGAATGAAAATCTCTCATTTCGTTTTTGAAAAATGTTTTTAGAGAAACAACAGGTTTGTACCACAATTTGTAAATCAAATCATATTTTGTGGTATGAATATTGCTATTACAGGAACAAATCAAGCATGTCTTAAAACAATACTTACACATGCCCATATGTATATTGTAAGTGTTATTAGTCTTTGCAATAGTTTTTTCTGTCCATACTGGCCACAAAGAAATCTTTCACGAAGGTCATTTCAATGCAAGCGATTGAGGAGAAATTCCACACTCCTCGTTCTGTGTAAAAATGCATTGTGAAGTTCAGCTGAAGCTAATATGAGACCTCAGCAGTCTGAGGTACACAAATCAAGTGGGTAGCTCTTCAAAGTTAGTCTTTCTTGTGACAGTTCTCTTATGAAGGTAAGGACTCAAAGGCAGGTGAGGTGAAAAGGCAGTGAGAAAACGTATCTAAAGAGATTAGGTAAAAGACACAAACTGGATACAGGCTGAGGCAAAAACAGGCAGGCAGTGTAAAGAGCTGGAAGGCTAAGGTGAGAACACTATAGACGATGTATCAAAAGGGAATGTGAGCTTGTATGTACTGTACATGCACTGAGAGGCTGACTGGAAGTTGAGGGGTGGGTGTGAGGACAGGAGAGAAACGAACTGGTTTCTCAAAGATCGACTGTGACAATGGTTTAGATCTATCTATAGTAAGATTTCAGATAGACGTTTAAAATAAAGAACTTTTTTGCCATGAATACTGGTTAAATTAAGACTTATTTCAAACTTAAAAACATGGCTAACCGAGCAAATGTGTCAAACCACTCAGCTCCGGTCGGGATGAGCGTCAGCATGGTTCTCTGCCTGAAACAGTGGATTTTTCTGTCTGGTTTTGGACTGAGTTGCTGCCCCAAGTGAAGGGGATAAAATGTCTCAGGGTCTTGTTCATAAGTGGGTAAAACAGCATGAAATCGACAAGCGGATCGGTGCATTATCAGCAGTGATGCCGGAACTTTTGAATCTAAAATCTGTAAAACCGGCCTCAGGTGACAGGGGAAAGGCTGGACAGGGTGAGGGCTACTGCCGGTCAGCTGAGGAATGGCAGGGTCTGGCATGAGAAAAATTAGTGCGGGAAAAACATCATGCATGAGATGAAAAATGTTTAAAAATCAGTTATATTTCCGCAGACAGTGTTTCCTTGCTGAGCTCAGTGGAGGGATAGCAACAGATAGACGGATTCTAGTACTAAACAGACTGTCACCTTGGCTGAACTTTTGCAAATTTTTTGCACTGAAAAAAAACCATGGATTATTTCCCCCATCACTTACATTTAAATTAGCTAAGGAAGGATCTCTCTGTATCCAGTATGGATGGACAGGAGGAACAATTACATCTGAGTGTGTTAGTATTGTTTCAAGCTATACTTGAAAATATGTAAACCTATCCTTTAAGAACCTCAGCTACGATGAGGCTTTGGCAGTGCATCTATGTCAATAACACATGGGAAAATAAAGCCACATGTTGAACATTGAGAAAAACACTTTTGTTATTGTTACAGTGTAAGAAACATTGATTAAAAAGACATTTTGGAAATGAATTGTGAAATGGAGGTGAGTGGAACAGTAGATATCCTTGAGGTTGGACAGATCTTGAGCTCTCTTTCGCCCCTTTTACACTGTTGTGCTGTCTCGCGATTCTGTTTAAAAGGTCTCATCACAGAATGGGGGGACAGAGTTGTCTCGCCTCTAAGGTGGCATCAGAGATAGCAACAGAGCCAAAATGAGGTCTGTATAAATGGGACAGACAGCAGGATGGGATCATGGGCAGGATGAGTGTGACGTTTTGACACGGTGTTAAGTGCGTGGGAGATTTAAAAAGTAGCTGCTAGAAGTTAGCAACTAACTGAAAAAAAGTGGACCAAAATGTATGTAAACTGGGAAAACAATTAGGTCTAGGAGCTCCTTACCCTCCAAGCAGTAGACACATAACAGGTACGGCAAATGATGTCAATACATTTCTCATGTGTCACACTAGAGGTTGATGCTGATGCGTTACATACCTCCAGGGTTGGGTAGTTACGTGTTACAAGTAACACACACGAGTATAGAAGTTTTTCTTTTAATTCACTACATTTGCCATTTTTACCTTCATCAAAACAAGTCTGTTCTTAATTCTATCTAGTGTAGGAGGAGAGCACACAAGGAACACCTTAAATGCAAACTAGGAAGCCCACCTGGCTGACTCCCTGCCTGAACTAAAGCATTGTGGTTTTTTCAAATATGTATTTTCAATTTCTTTTTTTAAAGTACTGAAGTGGAGATTTTCAGTACCCTACCGATCACTTCATGCCATGCTTGTCATGCCTCTTTTGCTTGCACAATGCCTGCATGCTATCTGAAATCTATACACTAGAGTGGCATGATGCCGTTGCCATTAAGTTCTGTGTAAAAATGCTAAGGTGGCATAAAGAAGGAACTTTGTAGCGGCCAAAAAGCACAATCTTTGTATATAAAAAGCTTTTAAGACTTTATTGCTTTCTGGAAAACACAACTTGTGAATAGTGTCACACAGTTTGTTTATGAGTAATAAGAGAGTGTTTTTTACAAACCTTTTTTAAAATGTTTTAGGACATGTTGATGTGTTTAACTAAAGATATAAATTTCTCATGAGACCAGAATCAAAACTTGTAATAAAGTTGGAACATGTTGTAATGAATTCTTTAAAACCAACAAAAAACAAAACAAAACAAAAAAACACAAAAATAGAGTGGTTATTTTCAAACAGTTTAAAACATACTTTAGGATAAATGTCTGCACCGTCCAAATCTGCTGTTAGGATGAAACGATCTTGCATTTTCAGGGACCTCTCTGGATGTGGCTTTCGGATAATTTTGTATCCATAGGATAATTCCCTCTTGTCCATTTCCTGTAAAAACACAAAAAGCCTCTCAACACAACGTTACTACAAGGTTGATGCAGAAAACATTGTGATCAGTATTGTTTGTTAATCAAGTTATTGACTGTGCCATTCTGTGTCTTTTTATAATTCGTATTGATGACAGTAAGTTATGAAATAACCTCTTGTAGACCCGGATCACATGGGATCAGATAAACATGGAGAGTGAGGAATGCTTTGTTGGTCTTGTATATCAGCACATTACAGTGTATTTTCACAGGTACACCGACTTTCATCAGGACCGCTCTTGGAGAGAAAACTGGTTCAGACAGCTTGACATGGGACGATGTGACCTCAGACACTTTTTCCAC